TTTTACTTTACGTCACAAGGTTACTGACCTCACACCCAACCTTCCCTCCTCACTGGGCTTGTTGCTGGCTAAGGGAAATTTGAGACTATGTCGGTCAGAAGTCGAGACGATGGGCCATGTTCGTAGTTGGCTGTTATTTTGCCACTGAACGACCGACGCATAATCTGCCTGATGCTTTCTATGTTTTAGGTGGATCATAATTTCACCTTAGCTTCATGAATCGTGTGACTTTTCTAGGTTGCACCTTAAATTATGTCATGCATGTTTCGAGGAGAAAATTTATCAGTATCTGATTGGTCTAATTCATGTCTTTCTTCAATATGGTTACCATTGTAAAGCTCATGAAAATCCATGGTCAGAAAGAAAACTTTCATAGCTGTTTACGTCCTTTTCTTGTGACTTGATAGGCTGAAAATGGTTTGATCCGTTAATTTTAATTCTACTCTACGGTGAAATTTATTAATTCCTGATATGTATCCATATAATGTGTGTGTTTTGTTTGACAGTCTGTACTTGGTGATATGTATCCATATAATATGTATGTTTGTTTGACAGTCTGATATATTTTGCTATGTATATATGGATCGATATTCCATTATAATTAGCCAATCATGTTAAGACTGTCTATTGATTTGTTCATTTTGAATATTCGCTCACACACTTGTGTTTACACACTTGTTCGGACATCCATATTTTTGCTCTCACACACTTGTGTGACATTGATTCTCCTTGTGTTTGGAAAATAGAAGTATCATCGCAAACCTAGTGGTCTTCTGATTTCCGTCTTTCTTGCGTCAGGACTATTAAATTCTCGACCAGTACATAACACTTCCCTCCCCCCACACTGATACTCAGTTAATGTAGTTATTATATCCAACGTTTGTGTCGTAACTTAACAATTTTAAAGGACCGTATTCTTGCGAAATTTGCATTTCGCGCCATTTATATAGAATGCATTTCAGTTATTGGTTTACATTATGTTTGCTAAAACTTGAAAGCGTCCTTTTCTATTTAAGTTTAATTGAGTTTATTGAGCAAAGATTAATCTTTTCAGTAACTTCTTTAACAGACTCTGATGTTATGTGTCCATAATAATTAAAGAATTATTGATATTAAACAGTATTAATGCTGTTTTAAATTACTTTGAATCAATTCCCTTGACAGATTAACAATCAAAAGTATCTGTGAGTGATATTATGCATAAAAATCTGATATTAAGAAGGAAAGTAGTCGAGAATTAATGAATTTATAAGTTCCACAAGAGGCCAAGATGGCAGTGGTGGCCTTCTGAACCTGCTACTTTTGCACGCAGAGCTCCTGTTGTTATAGGTGAATTACAAAAGTCTCTCGAAATCAGAGTGTTTGGTATTTGAAGGCCCTGGGTAATTTATTCGTTATTCGATAGATGATACCTTTGTGGCCGGCTTGGACAAGGTGATCTATTATAAACTCCATTATGGGTAAAATTTATTTTGTACATTAGTATTTACTGATGACGTTTCGAGCACAATTCATTCTTGCTAATAATCATATCAAGGTATTCACATAACTTTCTAACTTCATTTATATGATTCCATTATTTCTCATCACTTGGTTTGATTGGCAGTAATATTCTTCATACTTCCGGTAGGAGTGATTAGTCATTCCTACTGCATACGTAGGGTGTAGACTCGATAAACAAGGATTCAGTAATCAACCTCTCTCTCTCTACCTACTTGAATATGGCGAATATTACTGCCAATCAAACCAAGTGATGAGAAATAATGGAATCATATAAATGAAGTTAGAAAGTTATGTGAATACCTTGATATGATTATGAGTAAGAATGAATTGTGCTCGAGACGTCATCAGTAAATACTACTGTATAACAGTGTGAGATTTTATCAAAATAAATTTTACCCATAATGGAATTATACTCAACCACAGTGCACAAGTTCTGTTATTATCTTATCAAGCTATTGACGGTTTTACCTACACCTTTATTTAACTACAGTGATATGTTTTCTGGAGTACTTAAATTCGAATTTCTATAGTAACTGCCAGTATATCTGGCTCTACAGGAGCAGTTGATTTGATAGACACAGTAAGAAGTGACCAGCCGAGTTAGGCACTTCGTCTTTCAGTTTTTGAGTTACAACCGGTCATGTTGAAAATGTGAGTTGCAGCTTACTAGCACTTGACATTCTCTGAATCATTTTTCTCAGCTTATTGGTTATTATTAGGCGTGATACATCATTTATGAATTGTAGTCATATAAATAGAAGCTCCATTTAAGAGATACAGTGGAATTATCTCCTTCAGGACAAAATAAAGTAGTTGAAGCGAACAGTGGTGTTTTCAGTAAATTCTTCTTGGGGCTCTACAATTAGAAATCCACTCAATGGTTCTCTAACTAATGTCAGCTCATGATGAAATCCTGAAAAAAAACCCATTAATTAAAACATACAATAATCAGTCAATAGAAGCAAATTAAAATCAAGAATTAAAGGTCGCTCTAAGTGAAGAGTATTCTTTTCAATAATTTCTCCTCTTCAGGTTCTTACAATTATAAAATGTAATATTTATTTTGGTGCGTCGGTGGCTAAGCGGTTAGGACGCTTGCCAACCATGCACATAGCCGGGGGTTCGATCCATGGCCCAAGCACTCCCAAACCTCGCTAAGCCAGAAATAATGCCGGTCAAGATGAAAGGTTGGGCATGAGGCCAGCAACCCCATCCTGTAAAAATAAACACTGTTACAGAAACTTCAAGCCACTGGCTTCAAGCCCTATGTTCCAGTGGAAACGTGAAGGAAAAAAATATTTATTGTCTTTACAATAATCGCCTGTTATGCGGCGGATACGTTTTTTAACGTAGAATAATAGATTAGTTATGGGTGTCAAAATAAATAGTCGTATTTGTGCGACAACTGTGCTAGCTTGGTTAGGCAAGGGGAGGGTTAAGCCTCACCTACACATAGGTGAAGCTTTTGCAATAAGATCGACTAGACTGGAACTTTGTGTCCAATAAGAATACATCCAGATGCGGTTCCTATCGTTGCCAGACTTGGATTGATGATTACTCTTCTCACCAAGAGTGCTTCTTCCCCTTAACCCTCATGATTTTGTTTTTTTCCTTTGCTTATTATTGCAATTATTACTATTACAATCATTATCATTATTTGTCATAATCTATGCCCTTCATGCAAACATTTCCTCAATAATATCGAATTTTCCATCCGGACTTATTATTGGTGACATTATCCCTTTACTCAATATATGCCTCCACCTGTTTCATTTCACACATTCGTTATTTCATTATGAACCTCTCATTGCAGTCTTACCATGTCCTCTTTAATACATACCACTCTGTATTGGCCACTCACCTGATGCCTTTTATAACTTTGAACTGACTTGTCAGTTTTCCCTACCCCACACTCTACAAATCCATTATGACTGATCATCACCATTGTCTCCCATTTTACAATATTTTGTAATCGATTTCAGCCTAGCACGTTTGTCACACAAATAAGACTATTTATTTTGACACCCCATAACTAATCTGTTATTCTACGTTAAAAATGTATCCACCGTATAATTGACCATTATTGTAACGACAAAAATATTATATTTTGTAATTGTAAGAACCTGAAGAGGAAAAATTATTGAAAAGAATATTCTTCCTTCAGATCGACTTTTAAATTAGAATCAGATCAGAAATGCTTATTATGGAACAAGTATAAGATGAGTTGTTTCATTGACAAACGTTCATTTCTGACCTTTTATGAATTCATGACCTTTCTTACGATTTCTATTACCTTAGGTTTAAGTAGTACTTTTCTAACTTGTTATCGTATTTACAAATTCCAATTCATTAGACTTCACTAAATTCATTATTTATGTTATCTGACAATCATTCACCAATAGTACGCGTAAGTTTACACCACATCATCGTTATTATTATTTTACAATCATTCTTATTGTCGTTATTTTCAACCTTGAACTTATGTCTAGTCCGCCCCATTCGTTGGTTTATTTACATATTGTCTCACACACCCTGATTACACTAAGTCTTGAAACCTGTATTTGGTTGACTATATTTATATAAATATACACATGATTAAATTAAATTATTTCACCTCATTTTATCTCATGTACTCACTGAGCATGCATATTCAGAAACTAACTGACCATTGTTCCATCCCATCTTATCTATACTTCTTCCACAATACACATTTCTGATATGATTCTAATTTGCCTTTACTGACTGACATAAATTGATGGATTTATAATTGTAGACTTGAAGAAGGAAGAATTTATTGAAACCAGAATTGTTCGATCTAACTATTGTGTTCTGAATAAATTATGGGAATATTCGGATTATTTTCTATTGCATGGGTCATGTTTTACGTGATGAAATCTTCGGGGTGGTTGTTTCCTGTTGATGTTTCACATACTGTTGTTGTAAATTACTACCGTAATTTTATTTTCAGTCGCATCTTCTGAGCCAACAGCTTTAACCCAATGGTTGAGGATTTTTAACGAATTTCTTTTGTCCTTCTAAAGTACTTTATTATGATTATTGTTTTCTTTAAGGAAGATCTATTCTGTTTTAAATACTCTCTATCTCTCGATGGCTGTTTCGTCCTAGTATGAGACTTTTCGGCAGTACACATCTAGGACGAGGTTACGAGTTGAGTCCATTGAAATGCTGTTGAACCTCACCTAATTCACTGAGCGATAGCAAACTTAGGAAAGAAAGGGAGGCTAGACGTGGGACTAGCACCCCCCTCCCACGTCCATAAAAACGACAACAATGCTACGAAAGCTGCAAAGCTTGAAGCTTTTTGTTCCATTCAGAAGAAATGTAATAAAAGAGAAGCTGTTTTAGGGTAGGACTCTAAATGCTAATAATTTACTATGTGAGTGTTTATCACTCACCTCATTTTCAGTTTATTTTTTTATGAATGCTGGATTTTCTCTGCGTAAAGTGCTACATTTCTTTATGTATTTTTATTATAGTTAACAATGAAACATTATTGTTAAATGGTTCAGTATCTGAAACATTGAGTCACACTGTCCAGTCGAATTCATTAAAACAAAATTATCTATTGAAAAATACTTCAAAATATCCAGTTGTACATATCTCGTATAATGAAGTACCCGGTTATTGTGCAATGGTAGCTAAAGCACTAGATGACGACGAAGGCAGAAATGCACAATTGAGATATGGTATTTCACGAAAATATTTACATAAAACTCAAAGAGGACGAGGAGAGAAAGAGGATAAAACTGCCAATATTCTTGACGCCTTCACAATGGATCCACCAAGTGGACGTGTTATGCTGACTAGAAATTTAAATGTCAATGAACTTGGCTTATATGAATTAGTGTTAACTGTGGAAGACAGCGGGGAACAGATTCAAAGAGCAGAAAAGGTAAGTTAGGCATTGTATGCCTTCACAGGATATTTTTTTGATTTTTGATTTACAGCTTGATTCCACACTGTATTTTTGGTACAAGTATGGAATTTTCAGCATGGATATCGGTAGCCTAAATTTTGCAGGCCGACCATAGATATCAGGTGTGCGCCGGCGTGGGCTCGAACCCCGGACCATGTGCATGGTCGGCGAGAGTCCTAACCACTGTGCCACCGACGCACAAAATGATAAAATGATAATTGCAGAATGAAATAGAAATAAATGTTCAAAAACATCTATTTTATTGTATATGTCATACGCAGATATCTGTAAACGTTGGTGGAATTAGTTGGTTGTCTTAAATTCGATAAATATGTCGGTGGCTCAATCGAAAAAGGCTTACCACCCACGAAAGTGGTGCCTAGTGCTATTTCCGGTCAACGTATTCCTAAATCTAGCTTAGCCAATAGTAAATCAGAATCCACGAAGCGATAAATGCACATGAAACCAAAGCAAAATAGTAAGGGAAAACTAATTACCAAAAAAAGGAGCTAAGGAAACGCTTGACTGATCACTTCAAAAGATTCTTCAACCAAACACAGTCTACAACTCGTCAAGAAATACCACCAGTAGCCACAGGACTGCCACTGAATATCAATCGCCGGTGGATTAGCAAGTCGTGAAGGCAATCAGGCTACTAAAACCCAGCCCGTAAGGTAGTAGGATGAGACGGGTATTGGAAACTGACCCAGATACATCAGCCGATATACTCGCGTCACTATTAACGTTTAAAATTCGACTTCACTCAACGTAAAGAACAAGATTCAGATTTTTAATACTAATGTCATGTCAGTCAGTTATTCCATATGATTCGGAGACTTGACACGTTACGATAATCATCTTCAATAGGCTTCAGACATTTATCCATGTCAGCCTTCGTTGCACACTGAAGATCAGATGGCTAGTCAGAAAGCATTAGAAAGAAGAGATTTTGGCAACGACTGGACCAAGAACACATTGTCCAACCAAAGCAAATGGGACTGGATTGGCTACACGCTGCAGAAACCATCGAGTCACATTGCGCTCCATACCAGCCTTCAAGTAGTAAGCAGACGGAAAATGACGAATTGGATACAGGTGTCTAAGTAAAATTGCGAGAAGACGAGAGCTTATGGGCATTCATGGAGAAGAGAATGAAATGGCGATCAGCTACTGAAGCTGTTGTCCTTATTTTGCTGAAGTTCATCAAGCAGAACAAAAAACTACTCAAACGCAGAGTGTTTGAAAAAGGAAAAGCAAATCTGGATGGCCGATAAAACTGAGAATCAACGCTTTTATATTAGTAGAAATATGTTTTTCTAAATAGTCTGACATTTTGTTTTGATACCTATAAAACACAAAACAATTGAGCAAAGGATATCATTTTCGATAATTTCCCCTTCTGGCTCTACAATTATATATATATATATATATATACATATGTTTATATACAAAGAATATTCTAGATTAGTAATTAATAACAATATTAGTGTTTTTTAAGTAATAAAGATTTGTAAACTAAGATCACGATGGTATTAGAGTTCATTAAAGATGCTTAAATTATAATAATAATAATGATATAGTAGCAAATAGAATATCAATTAAAGTTAGGTTAATTTTCACAAAACTGAGGATCATTCAAACCTAGGTGGACAAGGTAAAGATAATGTCTGCACTAACTTCTTTTGGATGAACGAATTAGGCTTCTTAATGTGGATCACAACAGCCTCAGCAAAATTTAGTAGTTGAACTCTTATATTGAATTTGAGATTAGTTGGTATGCGGTAAGTGACTCCGAAAGCCTGGTTAACATCAGTCTTGTGTTCAATATTCACAAGATGAGATAGAATAGCGCTCCAAACAGATTTTGTTTGTCCTTCATTTAACCACGCAGGATGACGTTCCAAAATTCGACGAGAAATACGTGTAATTGTAACTGGCTCCAAAGTAGCAGTTAAATTGGTAGATACACATGGAAGAAGCGAAATTAGTCAGTTAATCTTTTACTTCCGTCCGCGAAAAAGGGTTAATTTTGAAGACACAGCATAATTCAGCAGCACTGAATACTCCTTTCGCCGCATTCCTTCGACGTTGTGTTAGTATCTCGCTGATGTTGTCTCCAAGGAATTGCATTTATAAGAATAAGGCCTTTTTAGGAACTGTTGGTAACTTGGGCTCCTTTGATTTTAGATTCATATTCTTATCTATAAACCTTTCTGGATAACCTTTTCCACTCAGCAACCGTTTAATATTATTAAGTTCCTCAATAAGACATTCATCCGAGCAAATCGCTTTTACTCTGTGAACCAAGCACTTTATCAGACTGTGTTTGTATTTCAAGGGTATGAAGCTGACAAAATTAGTATACTGACCTATTGATGTAGGTTTTCTATAAACACTTCTTCTTATAGTGACATCTTTTCTGGTCACAAGGGCGTCTAGAAATGAAATACTAGAGACTTTTTCTTTCTCAGCAGTAAAATTTATTGCAGTATAAACCTCGTTAAATTAATCCAGGATCTTGCTTGCTTCCTCCTCATTTTTCATAATCAAAAATGTATCAGCCATGTACCGTCAATAGAATTCAAGTTCACCATTAACATCCTTCAAAGGCCCATTCTCCAGTTTCTCAAGGAAAATGTCGGCTAGAATGGGTCCTAGCGATGACCCCATTACCACACCATAGATTTGTCTACATAGTTCCTTATTAAATAAAAAGTGGACATTCATTGTGCATTTCAAGAAAGGCTCTTTTATAAAAGATATAGGAATGCCAACATCGATGTTTCGTCTTATGAGTTCTTCGCATACGAAAACCACTGTTTCCACAAGCGGTACATTGGTGAATAAGGAAGATACGTCAAATGATATCATGAATTTATTGTCAACATTGAAATCTTTTATCCCTTCAAATAGTTTGTTTAAACGAAAACTGAAAAATATAGTCAATTCTGTTAGTTATGTCACTAACTTCACACTTCGTTCTTCCTCTTATTACTTAGTGTGCTTTTAGCAAAGGCTATATATAACTACACTTCATGTTTTCCTGTTTGTTTTGTTTGTTATTCTATTTTCTGAATATTTTTTGTAGACTATTCAACTGCTGGTTGAAGATACTCCACCACGTGGAAATTGGTTATTCCCTGAAATTGAACAAAGCCATGATCTCTCCTCATTATTCAGTACAAAATATGCTATCACAGAGACGCATACAATCCTTGTAGTGATTATCCTGTCTGGTATATCAGCGTTTTTAGCCTCTGTACTGATAAGTGCTATTTTATGCATGATTAAACCATGCAAAAAATCGAATAGTGTTAACCGATTGAACAAGAATTCATGTACAAAGAAATGTATTATTAACAGTAACGAGAATAATGGTATCATATCATTTAATAAAGATTACAACGCATCAATGTGTGGGGATTATGATTTGAATAAAATGCCTATGGATCAGAGTAATATGCTGTCGTATGATGATTATAACTTGAATTTGTTAAGTCATCATCATCATCATCACAACATCACCATGATCAACAATTCCAGTCAAGTAGTTTCACAACAGAAAATGATGGTACACTGTTGGATCCGACATTTTCTCCATTCCATCAGTATCATCATCATCATCATCCTGATAGTATAGTCATCTCTGGTGATAGTACTACACTATCTGGTATAGATAATTATTATTTACCACCTTATAAATTACCCGGTATTGATAATTACATTGGGAATAGTACTAATACCAGCAACAATGTGACAACAACAACAACAACGCCAACGGCAACAGCTGCCAACATTCCAACAGCGTGTATAAATCGTATGGATGGTGGAAAACAAGAAGAAGAAGAAGAAGAAAAATTACATTTGATGAAAAGAACTACATCCCCGTGTGTACAAAGAACCTCACCACCAGTCAGTTTACTACAATACACAGTATGTGAATATGTATATATGAAAGATGCTTTTGCTTTATCCCTAATAATGAAAACACTTTTTGATATTAAAAAAGTGTTGAATATTGAATATTCCGTAGTTTAGTAACAATCGGTTTACAACTAATATGCAATTCAAATCTCAAATGGCTTCAGTCAGCACATACTATTCGCCTCATCCCTTCTCCTTACATTTTGAACGCTATCAATTCCTGAGGCTATAACTAAGGGACGAAATTCTAAAGACGCTAGTTTACACGGTATTTAAAATTTCACTTGCAGTTGCAGTAATACATACATATAAGTAAAGCCAATAGAATGTTCCAGTTTTCGTCAGAAATAACATGTTCTTAAGTGGTTATTAAGTTGCATAGCGAACTCAAATGTACTTAATCTGAATAGAAATCTAGCTTCATCGATATATATATATATACATATATGTGAAATTATTCCCTTGGGTTCCTAGAGGAGAATACGGCTGAATTCAAAAACACATATTCACTATCTTTCATTCGCTGCTGTCCTCTTCAGCTGTTTAGCTCCACGAATGCCTATTTTCTTCCATCTGTTTCAACTCGTCATACGATCTTTACCATATCACCCTTGCCCCAGAGACCCAGTGGTTGCTTCCCACTGGGATTCTACCTGAGCGATGCCCTTCATTGAGCGCGATGTTATTCGATGGCCTCATCAACGTTTGCCCGATATATTCATCTTCATTTTCTCCTACATATTTGTTGATCAATCGGCTGTAGCCTGTTGGTTTGTTCCAAGGCAGCCAGCCAGAGTTTCTTGTTGCTAATTTTTTTCTCACCAACCGGCCGAGTGGTTGGCCATTTAATTGTCAGTATGGAGCAGTGAAGTGTGCAGCTGTTGATTAAACTGTGAAGTGGCTTGTGGGAAATGGTTTTCATGACACTCTAGCCAAGTTTTTGACCTGTATAGAAGAACTTACTTCGCATTTGTATTTAACTGGTGGATGGGGACTAGCAGTGGAATCCAAGATGCGCATTTCGTCCTATTTTATACTCGTCACTGGTTGTGTCATCCATGTACCGACAATAGAATTCAAGTTCACCATTAACATCCTTCAAAGGCCCATTCTCCAGTTTCTCAAGGAAAATGTCGGCTAGAATAGGTCCTAGTGATGACCCCATTACCACACCATAGATTTGTCTGCATAGTTCCTTATTAAATAAAAAGTGGACATTCATTGTGCATTTCAAGAGAAGCTCTTTTATAAGAGATATAGGAATGCCAACATCGATGTTTCGTCTTATAAGTTCATCGCATACAAAGTCCACTGTTTCCATAAGTGGTACATTGGTGAATAAAGAATAAGTGGTCTAGTGGATAACGGTTTGACATTTGAAACTATGGGTACTGGGTTCAAGCCTCGGTGGGAACATCATCACTCACTGAGAAATGCAGGTACATCCAGCTGACGAGTCCCAAATAGGACGAAATGCGCATCCTGGATTCCACTGCTAGCCACCATCCACCAATTGTATACAAATCAAATCCCCAGACATCGTCGAAGCATCTGCACAAGAAGCCGACATGTCAACCTGTGACCGAGCATTTCGGTCCGATCAATGGACGAAAAAATCTCAAATTCAATTAAATTACTTCGCTTTTGTGTTAAAAATCATCCATCGCTTAGCATTTATCACCGCAAGGTCATAATACCAATATTAATGACTGCTTATCAATTATTCAAGTTTATTAAAAGGTAATGGAAGCAGTTTTGGTGGTTAATCATACGTATCCAAAACTATTTATCTACAGAAATCAATGGTTTTCTGCCTTTGGCTAACATGGACTATTTGACTTACTAAAATATGATTGTTAATTAACTGCTCACCAAATTAAGAAAATTTTCAAGTTTGGTTTTGTAGGGATTTTGTGTTGATTGCATGATTAAATCCTCCATGAAATTAAGAAAAGGCGGAAATTTCTTCCGTTATATTCTAGAAAATTAGAGTTTCTTTCATCTCCTTCATTGGCATCCTTTCTGTTTACGATTAGTGGAAGTGACTTTCGTATATTTTATCAATTCTTCTGGCTTACTACATATAACCTTTTCAATGCTTAGAACTTCGCTTTTACTTGACTTATACTTCCTCTCTATAACTAGGTAATAATGGTTTATGCAAAATATATACTACATAAGTTGTCATTCAGTCGAACGCGAATATATATTTCAACACTATTTGGTTATATATTTTATGACAGCACGTCTGATAGCGGTGAATGGTTTTATTCCTTGTATTACTCATTTGACAACAGCGACTTGTAATTTACAATAAGTTCCAATGGTCCTCTACCAATGTCAGTTCATGATGAAATACTGAAACCCATCAAATCCCTGCGAATCAATACTTGAATATAAATCTGATGTTTACTAGTCACTGGCCCTATTCATGTGGGTAGTTGTTTGGGTTCTAGTGAGAATTCGTGACCAGTAGGGTAAAACAGATTAGGCGTTAGGACAAATACTTGCCAGCGATGACATTCACCAGTGGTTGAGGCATATCAGTGGTTGGCAGAAGCCTATTGGCTTAATGGTCTACAAGCTCACCTTGTAACCAGAAGGTCATGGGTTCGGCCCCTGGCGGTGGGTAAGTACTGATAAAGTGTCCGTAACCAGGATGAATCAATTGTGTAGTACTCCATGGTTTTACAATGCTTCTCTAACCGATGTCACTTTGTGATGAAATCCTGAGTCTTTATTTATCGAATCAACACCAAACGTGTGCATTTAAAATGGCGCAACGTCTATTGGGTATATGTGGAAAGTTTCAGTGAATAACATAGGGAAGAGGAAGAATATACATAAAGCAGATTACGAAGACATGTGAATAATACATTGGTATAATTATGAGCAATAAATTGTTCTCGAAACGTCACCACTGTATGTTATACAAAATAAACTTACCCAATATGACAATACAGGGTGGATTTTAACTCTTCATATTGATTTTTGTTCTTTTCTGTTCCCAGTGGAATATAGAAGGTCTTCAAGCTAGAGCTTTGGAATTTCAGTAGCACTAGTGTCTTTTACAGGTTGGGGTTGCTGGCCCTACACCCATCCTCCTCTCTTTGTCCGGATTATAACCGGTTAAGAAAGGTATAGGTGTACACCGGCTTGGGCTTGAACCCCGAACCACCTGCGTAGTGATCAGCAATCTACCGCTGAACCATCGACGCACTAACCCCTTAAGAAGGCAGTACACTTTCACTTTTTTTGAAGGAACTCTTATACTGTTGCTTAACTAACCAGCAGTTTATCAAGTCGCTGAAAAAAGATATCGCAGGAATTTGAACTGATTAATTTAAAAACACCTCGGAATTCTCTGTTTAAAAAAATGAAATATCACATTTCCAATGGCAGCTGCAGACTAATATTATGTTTATGTGCATTAGCCTGCACGGAGAAGAGACTAAAAACATCTATGTATGTGAAAACGCTGTCAATTACAGTAAGTCCACTTGTCTTTCTTTTATTTTTCAAGTAAATGGCTGGAGTAGAATTTAAGAGCCCTTAAGTGTTCAATAGGTGTTCATTGCTTGAAATTTATTTATCCTCTTAAATTTAGTTGAACTATCGATTAGTCTTGCCTTTTATATCCAGGATTTAAGAGCATCTCAGATATAACTCTGGTAATAAGTGCTGTTAATTGACGCGACACAATAAATGTTCAAGTGTTAGTTTGCAGGGTCGTGACTGGTTTCAAGTTCGGTCACTAAATGATATCAGTAAGGAGACCATTTAATGACCAGAGGGTATTGGATAGCGATTTCGTACTAGTTTGGTACTTTTCAGTAGTGCACATCCATAACGTCACCGCCATAGATAGAGCTCAGACCTTTTAGGTTACAAGTCGAGCTCGTTAATCGCTATGATGCATTCCAGCTTCTAACAATTAGCTATATTAGCGTAACCTTCAGCTAATATCATTAGCGAGTATTTGTTCCAACACTCAACCTGTTTAGACCCCATCAGTCATGAATTCTCACTGTGCCCTGTAGCCAACCAATTGTGATCATAGGGATTTGGTTAGTCAACTGCTTGGTTCAGTCATGGGCACTGGAGTCGTGAATGAGTACTTCTGAAGAAACCCGAACTATTACAAAATGGTTGTCTAGATTTCTCTGGTTTCCAATGATTCTCTAATTGATATCAGTCTGTGATTAAACTTGAAATAAAAACTTTAGAATGAAAAGCTGAGGTCCACTGGGATTAGAATTGATGGACTTCAAAATTACCATGATTGTCTGCTTTTAATCACAGAGAAGTATTTCATTCGATTTCATGTTATTATAATTAATTATTCAAGAAAGAACACTGACACAGCGTTTTCCGTTTTCTGTTTAATTCAACAGACTCAACAACCGAAATGGAGTTATCTTCAATTTCAGTTTCCTTATAATGATCGTCAACAGATTATGCCAAATATTTCTTGTAATATGTCACCAAGATGTTCTACATATTCACCACAACATATAAACACCTATAATCCAGTATCACAAACCTCCAGACAGTCGGTTATTTCACCTTCATTAGTATCTACACAAAATTGTACTGCTGTCGCTAGTGCTTCTGCTGCTGCCGCCGCCGCCGGACCAGACCTTCTTCTTTTCCACTGTCCAAGAAGTTCACCTCTTTCTTCAGTATATTGTTATCATTCACAGAAGAAAACAAATTCAGTGTCTCCTAATCATCATTTGTCTAATGTGTCCACAGTATATGACTTAGGACTGAACAGTCCTATTCATTCTAATCTTATGCAACATAATAACAATCCTATCAGTATTGACTGTACTGTCAAAGACTCTCCACATTCCGTACAAATTATTGGTGAAGAGCAGAGATCAGATAGTGGTCGAGGTGCTAGTGATGAAGAGAATTCTAATCAAGTTCAGATGAATAATAATACAACAGTGTCCCAGTGAATTCGTCGTCATCAACAGCAGCATCAGATATGTTCCAGGGAAATGGATTGAAAGCGTCTGTTGTCAATCAAAAGGCTAGTAGTAATCAAAAATTTCGTTCTAATACATTAAAGTGTTATACAGATAATTCAAGTAATATAACAACTGGTCTTATATATCCAAGTCTTCCAAGAGTTAATATGTGTAAGTGTAATCTCTTTTTTTAACTTCTGTCTTGTGAATGGATGTTTATATTTTTATTTGGTAGATGGTGCCTAACAGTAGAATCCAGGATGCGAATTCTGTCCTCTACATGATTTGTCAGCTGGGTGAACCTGTGGGTGACAGTATTCCTCCTAATGGGACTCGGACCCAGTGCCAATCGTCCTAATTGTTAAAACATTATCCACTAGACCATTTAAATCATGAAGAACAACTGTTGTGTCATGATGTCAGACATAGTAAGCACATAGGTGGGTCCCGACGGCTTCAGCAATATGTAACAGGCAAATTGGTAAGGTAAAATTAGGATTAGTCGGAATATGGCAGATAACTTTGAGAACCTTGTCAAGATCAATTTTGTATCCTGTATCCACAAGATGGGATATGATAAAGCTGTAAATGAACCCTGCTTGTTCTTTGATCAACTATTAAGGAGGGTGTTCGGAAATCTGACAATAAAAAGTCTCATTGTGCGCCTAGTGTAACTGACTTTACAGCAGAATCACTCAAAAGAGACAAAATTAGGTGGTGTATCTTGAACTGTTGGACGTAAAACAGGAGTAGTTCTAAAAAGACAGTAGACATCAGTGGCAATGAATGCTCTTTTCACCTCATTTTTTAAGCGTTCTGTTATAATTTGAATATAAATTATGGAACTTTTCGTTTTTTGACTAAACGTGGCTACGTATTCATATTCATGTCAATAGAATACTCTGGACAACCATATTTTACTCAGTTATTGTTTAAAAAGATTTAGCTTTTCATTAAGACATTCAGGTTTCTCTTGCACTATGCAGTAATCACATTATTAAATTACTTTTGTATTTCAAGGGTATGCAGTTCACAGATGAGTGTAGTAACCAATTGATGTAGGTTTTGTATGGTCACAAGTACGTCAACGAATAACGTACTAGCGTTTCTTTCTTTGTCCATAGAATAAATCATTGCAGGATGTGAATCGTTAGATTTCTCAAGGATGTTCAACGCTTAATTCTCACTTTTATAATCAAAATCGTGTCATCCATGTCACGAGAAAAAGAATTCTAGTCCACCAGTTACATATTCCAAAGGTTCATTCTCTAATTTTGAAAAATAAAAATGTCAGTTAGAATCGGTTCCACTAGATGACTTAATAGCTACACCACCAGTTTGTCGGTAGAATTCCATATCGCTCTCTAGATGTTTAATGTATTACAGAAAATGTTTTCACCAGGAGACGTTTGTAATTTAAATCCTTAGTCTAATCTCTTCTGGCCCTCTTTGACTGAGTAATCGACTGGTTTCAACGTTGGACTTTACACCGATCGATGTGTAGCACTTTGAGTTGCCACACTCCACTTAGCACATTAAGCAGGGGAAAACGTAAACAGAAGTGCAAAACAAATACAGTAAACAAAGTTATAAGGCTGAAAGAGTAGTAATATGGAAGAAATCATAGAGCTTTATTGGATATTTTAAGTCACAAGGAGTGGATGCATCTGCGCCAACACTGAGAACGATTTTAACTAGACCACCAGACTGTCACTAAATGTTCTCTTCAGATTTTGTCAATTCCTCCCACATAAGTGTTTCGCATATTCATTCCCAAGTTGCCTTTCTTTTCTAATCTTTTCTGACCAGTCGACTGATTTTCGTCATTGAGTCCTCGAAAATGACAGTTGATGAAAGTCTGCCGTCTGTTGAGATAGCCTGTCATGATGTACCAAGTCTACGAACCAGACAGAAACAGTGAATTACTTAACATTAGTGTCGAAAGTCTGATTATTTTCTCCTTATGCTGGTTTTAATAATTTTCCACATCAATTTCAGATTGATGAAAGTTTTCCCTGCTTTTTAAATCCTAGCTTTGATATTCTCAGTGGTGTTGCTTTTAGTTGAGACGTTGTTATTTAAATCACTATAAGAAGTGATTGGTGCTTGTTGTTTAGTCTCTCTTCTCTATTTTTACTGGAACTCATCTTCAGTCTCTGGCTGCAAGCTTATTGCTTTTCACCTGTAGATCTCTGAGTCTATATGATATTAGACATAAACCATCCACAAAGACTAAATTTTCCAATGTCTTTTAATTGGTTAAATCTATGACTGCTTCGCGTTCCTAATGGTCTGCAACAAATCGGAGTCCACCACCATCAAGAATATCACCGATGATAACAGGTATCTTGTCTTACTCCCATCTTCGCTCGACAGGCATCGTTCAGTTTTCCGTTGTGTTACTTGACATGTGACACGATTACGTAACTGTTGACTGAGGTCTATATATTCTTGTGGCTTGTTTCCAAAATCCTTCACGATTAACGCCGCAGAAGACCTTTCAAAAGCCATCGAAATTAGAGTAGGGAGGGTTTCGACTGCCAGTCTATGCCCTGCCCGATGATGAGGCGTGGCACTAGAATTTGGTCCGTCAATGACTTGCTTCTCCTGAATCCAGCTGTTTCCGAGTAGATTTGAGCATTCATGACATCTTGTAGACATACCCAATTTTATGTAGTGGTCATTTTTTTAAATGAACCACAAATGCTTACTTTCTTGGGATCATTTGTGAACTCTCAAGCTGAATGACACCATCTTTGACTGGAACATTGTAGAAAATGAAGACTTTCATTACAATGTCAAACGGAAACTAGTTTTAGCGTAGATTACTTTCAACTCTGTATGACTTATTCAACCAATTATTGTCATGCATTTTATGGTAATTTGATTTGTCTCTTTACACATTTTAGTGAGCAATCACGGTTCAGTGATAAAGTACTTGACAACCACTAATGTGGTTGGGAGTTTGACTTTAGGCTGACGTACTGCTTAATCTCACTTAGCTTTTAGTAAGCCCAGCAAGGAGGGAAGATTAGACATGGGGTTAACAACCTTAACTCTCAAAGAGTTCAAGCATGACGACCTATGCTTTACTCGGAACTCAAAAGAATAAAATAATAGCAAGTTTTAGTAATATCTGTTATTTACTTATAATATGATACAGGAAAGATAACTTGAACAGTTGAATGAACCTCTTCTGCTTCTCATAACAGATGCTTAAAGTATCATAAGATTAGATAAACAAACATCCCGTCTCTCTTGGCCTTCTTCTTATTTACTCAACTTCCTAATGAAACTTATGCCAGATGTGATTTGTATACCAAAGTATACCAAAAACGAATATTCTTTAGATTAGACGTATTTGCCTCTAGGAAATTGGTGTTGCTTTGAAGCAAAACTAAAGTTATGCGCTTACTTCTATCATGAATAAAGTTATAGCTTTTTTTATATTAGCCGCTATCACCAAAACGTCTTCTCCGCCGTTGAATGGATATATATACATATATATTTCCAATTCGTTCCATTATTTTCCGCATATCTTCTTATCTCTACCATCTGGTGAACATGAAATAAAGGCAGAAGAGGATATAGTGTGTGTGTGGTGTAGAAGACAGGAAACAATTCATGAATGATGAATACATGAGAAGTACTAGTCTGAATCAGATAAAATTGCCAGATACGTATCCCAGGAAATGTATATGTGTATATATACATACATTATAATTCTTAGCAGATAGTAATGAAATAAGTAAATGATATGACTTAGAGAAATATATTGTGCTGGAAAAATTATCCAGTTATTAATACTGTATCACTTATATAATATGTATTGTACGATTCTAATACTCTAAAATAGATTCTTATCTATTAGTGAAAATAATGTAGCCACTGTATCTATTCAGCATACTACTTCTTGGCTATTCATTCGGAACTTAGAATACATAGTCGCCGTGTTACAGCTCCTCACTACTTCCGGTCTGATAGGATAGAAAGAAAACACAAAATGTATGAAATATTTCCTCCTCCGTCATTCTAGACAGTACCTCCTCCAGTGTCCTGATCTGTCACATTCAAAGCATTGGTCTTTCCTGGCATTTATCCATAGTGCTACTTCCAGAATCTGTTCCTTTTGCGGCTACCGTTGTCCTCAATAGCTCTCTGGTCACATTTGTTAACTCACCAATATACATGTTTGGTACAGTGCTGTGCGTGATATGGTAGATTCTCCAGTTTCTCCGCCAACACTAACAGGATTCCGTTGGGTCCTAGCTTCGTGTCACGGAACTGCTAAATTGCCAGTTGCCTGCTCATCATGCTGTAGAACTCCACCACCAATCGTTCAACCAATACCTTACAGGTCTCTTAATCACCTGGCTGGCTGCTCTACACTATCATGCATTGCCATTGCACCACCTCTCGGCAACATTCTCAGCATCACCGCCTATTCCACCAGATCAGTGAATTCTACCAACTCAACAATGGCATCGAAATCCCACAAAAATTAGCTTTTGATGTCTCCTTCTTCGAAAGTAGCTGGCCATGGAATCTTCTTTAACTAGAGGCAGCGACATCAAACTTAATGGCAGACAACGAGAGACTTGGTAGCAGAATGTTGGTTTGCAGTTTGATATCTCTACGTAGGAAAATTATGTACACCTAATGTGGAAATCGTCATTTGTACAGATATTCCGTGTTGTGCTACTTCTGCTTTTTGTATTGTGTTTCTTTATCTTCTTTTCGTGTTGCCCGTGTTTTTCTGCAGTACTGGTTCATTTACTCTTTCAAATTTATCTCTCCACTATTTGATTTTTTCTATGCCAACGAGCGTCCGTTTATATACTGCTGACACGGACACCAATTAATGAGTTCAGGCGATTTATTGTACCAAGAATATTTGATTTGTTTAATTATGAAGTTGCATAAAAGAACATCGTAAGTAATTGCTTCCATTTGATTTACAGATGCAGTGCTCACGCAACAAAAAACATTTCCAACCACCTTCTGCATACTTTCGACAATGGCTGTCTTCGTTGGCTCAACACTAAAGATAAGAATCCCAGCCAGAAAGGATTACAGACAAAAATGTCTATCAGAGAATCAACCAAGAACCTTTTTTTTTAATGAATATGCAGGTGAAATGGAAGTGGAACGAATACACGCTTAGGAGACCTCTGAGTGACACACATCAGGGTTTCGACTGAAGTTTTGAGCCCGAGAGTGACTTGTAGGTGGTTGTGTGTTCGTATGAAGTAAAGGCTTATGGCCAATCATAGCAACAGCTTAAAAAGGACTACAGAGAATGAATAGTTTCTTAGATTTTATTGAGTTTCAATAATGGTACAACAATGCTAACAAAAAATTGATGGCAAAGATTTTGAAAGCTGAAAGCATTTTGACTACACACTGCTGAGAAATTCTTGGCTAATAGAAATTAGCTTTCCGATCCACCTAAATCGTCGCAACTTATAATTAATTATAAATATTATTAGATTAATGCCAATGAGGTGCTCACTGGCGACTGGTCCTATTCAGGTAGGTGGTTACCTGGGTTCTAGTGAGAAGTCGTGACCAGAAGGATGCAGCAGGTCGAGTATGAGGACAAATACTCGCCACAGAAGACATTGGCTAGCGTTTGCGCTATATCGTGAATTGGCAGAAGTTAGAATTCATGGGCCATTGGATCAGGTCTCAATGGCTTAATGGTGTATGAGCTCGCCTTGTAACGAAAAAGTCCTGAGTACAAACTCCGGCGGGTGCGTACTGTGAAGCGTCTCAAACTAGGACGAAACAGCTGTCCAGCACTCCCAGGTTTTCCAATGGTTCTCTAACTGAAATCAGCTCATGATGAAATCCTGTAACTAATATGTTTCTCTTAGGTTTCGAGAGAAGAGCAGTGGTTCAGCAGCACTTCTCTACTTCATATTATTGTCTTCAGTCCGCTTTAGCTGGTTCCATGACTTCCCATGAGCACTCATCTCCTCCTCACATAGTCGGCTACCTTCATTTCAGCGTCAAATCAAAGCCAAACTTGTAGGTTCCCATTCAGGTTGTGTATGCTAGTAGTATAGTCAATATTAGAACACGATTTAAGCGAGCAATTATGTATTTTCGGTATATTCCAATTAGGTCTTACAATTGCCAAATAAGATATTAGTCGTAGATATTTAAACCCATTGTGCATAAATAGAACCAAAAATGATCTAGTAGAATGTAAGTAGAATAATAATAATAATAATGATAATAAACTGCGAAACTGAGATTAAAATATGCAACTGTAGCACGGCATAATATTGGTAATAAAGTTGGCAGTACAAATAAAAACAATATTTACAGTTATCCGGTGTCACTGTGAGAGATAAATATTGCAGGTTGGGTTTAAAGGGTATGGTAGGGGGGCAGGAATCGAACAGTTGTTTTCTGAACACAGTGAAGAGGTTGAAAATACTATTCATGGCAACCTCCTTAGTTTTGCTCGGTAATCGATGGCATCCAAACTAAGGGGATTGTGGTGGCAATTTGTATAGAATTCTAAAGGTTCAGTGTTTTTCATCGACCTTGCATTCTGTATCCATAAAATGTATCACAGTATGGAACTCTTGATTGACTTCATAACTTTTTTATCTCGCCATGTCGGACAATGTTCATGAAAGTGATGATGAGCTAACTGGGTCATCAATCAGGCACCCGGAAGGTATTTCTCTGGAATTCTACTACTGTTATGAGTATTCAAGAAAGAATATTCTTTTCGATGACGTCTTCATCAGGTTCTACACTTCTATGATCATAAAAATGAAGAACTAGGGTTATTAACAACAATATTGTTGTTTATATAACATCAAATCAATAATAACATCATTATATTACGGCTGGATAGCAACAACACAACACTACAATGAATATTAGACAAATTAGGAAAAATAATGTGCGTCGGTGGCATAGCGGTTAGGACGCTCGCCGACCATGCACATGGTCCGGGGTTCGATTCCCGGCCGACGAACTCCTTTACCTCGCTAGGCCAGAAACAATGCTGGTAAAGAGTAAAGGTTGGGCACGAGGCTAGCAACCCCATCCTGTAAACTATAACACTGCTACAGAAACTTCAAGCCACTGGCTTGAAGCCCTATGTTCCACTGGGGGACGTGAAGGAAAATAAAAGAAAAATAATAATACAGGATTCATGAATTTATAAGCTCCACTGAAGGCCACAGCAGTAGTAATGGTTGAACCTGTTTCTTCTGGACACAGAGCAACGGTTGTTTTAGGCGAATCGCAACAGTCTCTGCTGTTTGGAGTTTTTGGTACGTGGATGCTTTTGGCAATTTATTCGGTACCCGATAGGCGATGGAGAAAGATTCTTCAATGCTGGCTGGCTGGCTTTGTGGCCGGTTTGGACCAGGTGGTCTAAAATCGAACTGTTGATAGTTTTTACTACATCTTTACTTAACTCGACGAAAAATCAAGTTCTTAGACCAACGGCCAATATAACTCGCTCCATCGCAGGCACAGTTGATACACAGTTGATACTGGTAGATACAATTAGAGATGGTCAGTCTAGTTTAAGGACTTCATCTTTCAACTGAGGTATCACAACTAGTTGTGTAGAAAAATGACACTTGTACTTTACCAGTATTCTTATTCATTTTTTCTAATCTTACTTCTTCTTTTTCATCCATGACAGGTAAAACATCCAGTGACAATCAAGAATTGGGTACATTTCAACGGAAACCTTTCTCGCTAACTTCATGGAAAGATGCCTACTCTACAAAGGAATAGACAATGAAAACAGTTTTCCCTCTTTTATTTTTCGATCAGTATAGAGACATCCCCCCCCCCGATTTGATGATGTCAAGCCAAATCAAATTAAACCAAAAATCAAAATTTTACAAAATCATAAATGTGTTCAGTCTAGATACGTTTATCTTTAGAAAAAAATGTGTGGGAGGGCATGTAATTTTTGCCTTGCATAATAATCCCAATTAGCTAAGGGGTAGACGATTCCCACACGCACAAACACACACATACACAGGCATTTATGTACAATCTATAAAAAAAACACAACAGAATTACACGCAGACATGTATGTTACATCACGCAAAAAAAAACGACTGAATGTTTGTTTGTTTGTCCATCCATTCGATTTCACTAGAGTGAACGAAAAACAAAAAATACATAACTAGAACATGATTTTTAATCAACTCTCACTGTCTCTCTCCCCCGCCCCCTGTGGTTTTCCCCTCTTCTGATCAACATTTTGCCTATCTCAAAAGCAAAATAGGTAGCCCAAAAAACTGAAAATGTTGATTTTTTGTTTTGTTTTGTTTGTGTTATCGGTCTTTGTTTATCTAATTTAATTATTTGCTTTATAAGCGTAAAAACTATGTGAACACATTCCAAAAATTAAATAATTCAAGTCACGCAATATATATTGCTTTTGCAGTTTTTTGGTATACAAAAATAATCAAATAGGGAGGAGAAGAATTTCGCTTTATGCTATACAGAAGTGAAAATATTATTCGGAGATGCATTTTCATTACTTAACATTGTGTCCATATGTTGTACAGACTTGATAAAATTAATACTGTATATAATTTACATGTATAAAGATAGGGAAGCTGGGAGTAGAAGAGAGCTGTGGACTTATCAGGTGTCTTTAATACATTTCCCATTGTCAGGGAAATGACGCCAATTATCTCGTTTACTGTTGTACTAAATGGAATTTCTTTTCAAAGACACGGTATGAAATAATGTCATCAGTGCATCTCATAGATTCTCTCATTGATTAGCTATGAACCACTATCTGGAATTACAGTGGTTAGTCAAAAGTATTGAATGAAAGCAACATACTTCTTGAGTGCTGTTGTGTGAACTTATAAGCTAACACAGGGTTTTCTTTTCTGTCTCCTATCTTCTCCTCTCCCTCCATCTCATCCCTTTCCTTTGCTTTCTACTTTGAAAGGCGTATAAATCTGAGATGAGTTAGTAATTTTTATTTCACAACATTTCCGCTAGTATCATTTTCTAATCACACTTTTAAATAACGATTGTAATTTCAGGGGTAGTGCTATGGAATTCATCAGAGAGCGAGAGAAAGAGAGAGAGACAAGGAACCCGGGAAATAGAATGATGATATCATTCCATATGCTGGAATAATTTGATCTTTTATCCGCTTTATGGTCGGTTAGCGAGATCATGATGCATCCGGGAATAGTCGATTTTGTGTGAATGTGTGTGTGTGTGTGAATGGAAGGGTAGCAGCATTTTCTTCGGGGGGGACGGCTTACATTCCAGTTATTGTCTATCCTTATATATATATATATATATATATTGATGTCATTTTCGTCTTTGAGTGATTAGGTAAACACTCAGTAATTAAGTGAGTACTATTAGTGACACATTCAGAATAAATAGGTTGCTTCTTCTTATCACTTTTCACAACTTCCTTTTTTGTTAAGGCAGGGTGCCTTTTTAAAAAAAAATAAAACATGGAGTGGTTCAAAGGCTGTTCTAACAACATTACAACATTTAGTTACTCCTTCAATATCTTCTCTTTCCTAAGTATTGTCTTCATTTTATCCCCTAACTTTACACCTTACTTTCTTATATGTTCAAGTTATTTCATTCCTTTGTGAAGATAACATCTTTTTGCTCTCTTCTGGGTATCCTTCAATCGATTGATATTCTTTTTCTAACTTTTTATTACACTTTTTACTCGATATAAAGTATGCTCTGAGACTTTTGAGATTGTCTTTGAAAACTGATTAATCTACAGATTTGATTTTACTGTTTCATGTAATGTGTTTCTGCGCGCAAGGCGGAGGAAGCGCGAGGCGGGGGACGTGCGAAGTACACAATGCATAGAACTAATTATTCACATGTACTTATTCTAATCTGATATGCATTTTTTCCCACAATAAAAACAGTTTCTGTTCTGTTTTGTTTTAATTTTGTTCTCCGCCTACTGATAAACACATTGACTTGTTAATAACTGATGCGATTTCTTTACCTATTCGCTATTTCTCTATCTCTTGCATTGAAGTTGTGCAGTGCTTGTTTAACAAAATCTCTTACATAAGTGTTATTTTCTAATTGGGAATTTATAAATTCTTTAATGCATAGAATGGATTTTTGTTTTCAGGTTTGAGAACACATTAATGAGAGTTATGTGTGAAGCATAGAGCTTCAATAGAACATCCCCGTTTCATCCTATGCTGCCTTACAATCCTCCTTAGATAACTCCAGGATATCCTGTAGACTGTCATCGGCACTGTATCACACCCAACTCATTGTTTTCCTTTCGGATTCCAACCGAGGGCTGGTCTGATGCGTGATATCATTCAGCAGTCTTCTTAGAATTTGTCCAGTACATCTCTTTTCCCTTCAGCATATTTGTTGGACAATGAATTCCCTGTTGATACGCTAGCACACTCGTTTGTTTTCAATCCGTATGCTACAGCTAATTAATCTTGATTATTGAGCCTCCAAAGGAATCCGTCGGAAATACTTTTCTTGACGCATGGGTCAATTCTCTAAACCATATGCAATAACAGATTGACTTGGCGTTAATGCTGACGATACAGGTATTGTTCCTTATGCTGACTGCGGTAGATTTCCATGCCTAGTTTGAGGGTAATGAATGTTTGTCTTGGCTGTTCCATTTGTACTGGCTTTGAAATTTTCATCCAAGAAACGTGTAGTTGAAAAGATGCTGCCCAGATAAGTGGGAGACTTGAATTCCACTTTTCCAATAAAGGTGATTAATCATCTTCATCGTCTCTGTATTTTCTACTGTCCACTTGAAGTCCTGTCTTCTTTGCTTCTCTTGACACCCTAATGTTTTTCACCTGTAGATTATGGAGTTTGCATGACAATTGGAATAGGAATATTATTGTTCATAATGAGCAGCCTTGTCTTACTTCTTTCTGCACTCTAAAGAATTCACTGAAATCTCCAGTGCAAACCAAGTGAATTGTAACACAATCACATAGCTCTTCAATGAGGCTGGTAAAGGGTCTGGCAACACCATAGTGTTGAAGCAGTTTTCAAGTTAATCCCCAGTCAATGCTATTCAAGGCTTTTTCAGAGTCAATAAGGTTGCTTTAGAGATTTCACTGCCACTCTGTCCTCTGTTTGATTTTGATACATAGTGTTGTGATTTCGTCTACAAATGATTTGATTTCCTGAATCCAGCCTGTTTCGCGTGTAGTTTTGCTTCCAAAGCATCATTTGATTTTGCAGGATAATGAAACCTATTACTCCGCTCGACATGAAGAAGAGCATGATTTAACACCAGTTCTTGCAGAGGACTAAGGAGCGCTTCTTGGGTAGTTTAACAAGGTCTCCTTTCTTCCAATGACCGGGTCGGTTCCCTTCCTTCCAAACGTTTTGCAGTATTAGCACAATCGTAAGCGCCACATTCTCAGGTTCTTTTTTCTGTACTTCCGGAGGAAACCCTACCGATTCTGCTGCATTGCAGTTTGGTATTCACTAACTTCATAGCATTTAAAACGTCTGCTTTTTGCACTGTACCTGTTTTAGGTGGTATTTCTGAAGCGACTGTAGGTGATTTTCAGTCAAAGAGTCCTTTGAATGTTTGAATAGCCTCTTGGTGGTATTAAAACGCCATTATACATATCATTGGATGAGTAAAACTTACTTTGTTAAAAACATAGTTTTGACTAGCAAGCATACTAAAATATCTTAATGCCTGTCCAGATGACGAGTGCCGAATAGAGTGAAATGCGCATCCAGAGTTCCACTGCAGCAAGTGATTCCAACTTACATGACCAGATATCCTTGGAACATCTACACAAGGGGCCTACTTGTCAACCTAAGACCGAGCACTTCGGTCCAATCAGTCGACTGGAAAATCTAAATGAAGTCAAGATTTTACTGTTGAGACTTGGATAGGTAGAAGAACGTGTTTACTATTTGCAATAAAGAACTTATTTAAACAATTCTGATGGAATGAAAGTGAAAGATAAATTTTTTTCTTTAATGTGTTATTATTATTCTCCAGGGTCAAGAGTGAAATGTAGGGCCTCACTAGCATATCGCCATTTCATCTTGTTCTCCGCAGTCATCTTTGCCTGGCTGGACGATTTATCATAGTCTCTAATTTCCATTTCACCTATTCTTCTCTGTATCACTATTAGGCCATTCCTCGACTTGTTCCATTCGGATGACACTCGAGAGAGAGGCCTTAGTGGGCAATGTCATTCACCTGTCTTCTCAGTACGCCTGTCTGATTAGTTTCCGTTCCTTCCACAATATTTCTCTGGCCATAAAGTCTCTTTTGGTATGTTAACAGAGTTCTTTATCTGATAATCAGCATGAAGCCAGCGAAGGAAGCTGTCAAGGAATGTTTAAAGCATGCTGTTGGAATTACGTTTCATGACTTATTCATCACTAAATTTCTAAACCAGATGATATGAGGATTATAAAAGACAAGTTATGATATAAGATAGTTGAAGGCAATCGGTCAAAGGAAGCCTTGGACCTAGGTTTCGTGCTAGTTGGTACTCACCAGTCAACATGGAGTATCTGTAACCTCAAAGGAACTCATGTCCCTTCTGAGATTCGAACCCGCGTCATCCAGTGCGGCCTTCAGTCAGAGACGTTACCACTGAGCTATTCGGGCTCGCAATTGACCTCCTGTAGGACTGCAGTGGATATTTTGATTTGACACTAGTAACTAGTGTGATGTTTCTAGTCCTCTCATTGGTGCAGACTAAATTCTCTCTCTCTCTCTCTCTCTTTATATATATATGAAATGT